CTCCAAAACCCATTATACTACAGCTGGGTAAACTGCTCTGAAGTAGATGTTAATTGTAGAAATTCCCTTTTATGAACAGAACTGCTATCTGAGTAATGTGGGGGCTTGGCCATTACACTGCATTGCTGCTCAGGCTCCATTCCCACAAGGAGCTGAACTGCTCTAACTGCTCACCACGACCAAATGAGGGACCTTGGTCACCTTTTCCTACCCCCTGTTCCTCTCTTTTCCCTCGGATTTTGCTCCTCTTCTATTCCTTATTTCTCTTGACTTAGCAGTGATGACCCCTCAACAAGCATAATTGAATCCAATACAAGAGAGGGGAAAAAATAACCACAAAAAACCCCAATGACACACATCTTACAGCATATTAATCTCAAAATTTTGTGGGGAGTATAGTCACATTCACTTAATAAATAGCTGCTTCTCCTGGAGACATTGTGTGTCTGATAGCAAGGTAAAAAACCTGCTTTATTTCTTCTTTAATTTAGAGCCAGTATAAAGGAATTATATTGAGCCCAACAGGCTCAAAATTCTTCAACAGTAGGGTAGTGTCCCAATCAAAAACTTGTAAAAATAAATCCTGACACTGCTTCCAGACACTGAAAATCAGCTTTAGATACTGTAGCTCCATTGAAGTCAATATTCATCTACAACTGAGTGACAAAAAAGATATGCATAAATTCAAAGCAAGTCCATTGCTTCAATGCTAGCATTTAGTACCATAACTGAGATGTTCAAACAATGCAATATTTATGTCAGAAATTTCATTTGGACAGACTTTGCTACTATTTACATTATCAGTTTTACTAAAATGAACACAGCATAGATATAACCACAGCTTACTGTCTTAACACAGCAACACATGATTAGTCAAAAATCCACCCAGGAATGACTTCTGTAAAATTGGGAATACACACTTCAGTGGTTGTCTAGGAGAAGGAGTGCTATGTTTTATAGTTTTACCAGTCACTTAATCAGTGTGACACTCATCAGACAAGGTTAAATCTCAATACAATAAGCACAGGGAAGGAGAACAGAGAGTTTCATGAGCAGCAGGAGGGCTGTTCACATGTCCAGCACTGATGGACAAGGAAAGTTAATCATTCAAATATTAAGAAAGATTTCGGTTTAACCAGCTGCAGAGAGCTTGGCTCATTTTAAAACGCAATTTGGTTTCACAAAACATTTCCCCCTTTTTTTGCTATTATTGACAAGTATTTTGGCCTTACAGGAGTACACTTGATAATACAAATTCTATACTATGAATGAGGAATAAATACGTTAGATCATGAAAAAAAAGCTTCTAACCAACACTATAACCCCTGTTTCCAACAAGAAACCATAAAGAGTCTTTTGCATAAAAATTTTCATTTCTATTTAACAAACATACCATATTTAATGTATTTGAATTACTGTACAAACCCGTGCCATTTACAGAGAAGAGATTAACAAACAGAGTAGTACCCTAAACTCAGATATAGGAAGATACAAGGATGCTCTTTCAGTTTTTGTGCACTTCTGACAGCAGAGACAGCATTGTTTAAAGTAAATAAACACAAAAGCTATTTCTATATAAAAATCAGGTAGCCGGGTATTTCTGAAACTAGAAACTCTGTATTGGTAAATTCTGACTTTGTATGTCAGACAAGCTTCCAAGACTGTCATTTAAAAATTATAAGGCCTAAAAGCAGAAAACATTGCCCAGTCAAATGTTTTCCCACAACTTTCCCCTTTGGTTCTGTCATCTCCCCAAGTCTTAATTCCACTATCTGCACTTCCCTGCTAGGGAAGTAATTTGGCTCATTCTTCCAGCTAACAGTCCCATGCTGTCATGCCAGAAACAGATTTTTGTGTGTGCATCTGAGGAAGCAACCTGCTGAGTTCTGCTCTTCCAGAATCTGTTGATGCAATTCCTCTTAAAATTAAAAAATATTAAAAAAAAATACTGCTTGATAAGACAAAATTCTTTCTTCATGTTAAGCTCCTAAACATATATCACTAAGTCAAGAGTAGCCAAATGGTACTTTAAACAGTTCTAATACACTGAAGCTAAGTAAAAAACTCCTACAAGTATGAGTTAGGAAACTACAAATAGATTTTTGTTAAAAAATCTACATTAAGTAAGCTTCTCTGAAACTAGTGTGACTTTAAACAAAGAAGAAACAAAAGCTTAAAAACTAGCAAGATTTTAAAAAAACCCAACCGAACAAAACAAAACAAACCAGCCCAGAACACAGTATTTCCTGATGGTTTTAAGCACACTCAAGTCCTAAAAGAACAACATCTCAGCTGAACTGTGGGTGTGTAGGAGTTACAGTGGATTTCCATCAACTGCTTTGGGGATTGTCCTGGGTTTTACTTCATTTTCCCAAAAGTTTTACTGTAAGAAAAACATCTAGACTATTTGGAAATATTTTAACAAATTACTCAGCCAAATACCCAAGTCCAATTCTCTGATTTTATTTCCCTGTCCACAGCTTTCAGAGGAAAAATAACCATATGCAGGGTGCACAAGGCATAATCCATATTCTCCAATACTGCAGGTTAAAGCATCAGTCATGCACACATTCTTAACTCTTAGCTGCAAAATCAACACACAATAAGGACTGGGATATGGTCTAATGTTTCATTAGACTTCAGCAGTAGTTATTTAGTTTCCACATTCTGTACCCTCTGAGTGTGTATACGGCAGTTACCAAACACCACTTTTGTTATTCACTATTTTGTTAAAATGCCATATTGTTCATCAAATCCCTGTCTCCTCCTCTCCCTTCCTTCCTGAAAAATCCAACCTCCTCTCACATGGAAGGAACTCTGCCAGACAGCAGAGACATCCACCCAGAAATACTCAGGAGATGCTGCCTAGGGATGCCAGCACACGCGTGTCCAGGTTACTGCAGGAAAAGAATGGAAAGAACTTCCAGAGCTACAAGCTGGGAACCCACACCCCGTTAAAAACATGTCCTTCAGAGCTGCCAACAGCCCCTCTAGTCTGGAGCTGACAGGTGTGCCAGAAGGCTTGTGAAAAGTTTAACAAACACAGGCTTCAAGACTAAACACAGTTTGGCATGAAGAGAATCCTCTCAGTGGTGTAAGAGCTCAGACTGACAGGCAGCCTCGGAGCCTGCGTGAGACCGTCCCCAGGAAACTTGTGCCTCTCTTGTTTGCAGCACAAAGCAGGGCTCCAAGGTGGTTACCATGCCCCTAAGTCCCTTTAACTAGAACAGAACACACTCCAGACCCGTGGCATTTCTCATTCAACTGAAAACAAAGAATCTGATTTTATCTAAATTAATTCCGGGGCTTCCCAGAATGAAGCAATTGTTTCTCTGAGTTACTCTATTTTAGTTAGTAGATTTATTCCCCCTAAAGCTATTTGGAAGCTGGATTGCAGCATCTCTCCACTGCCAGTGTTACAAAAGAATGTCTAATCAGGCCGAGTACTGAAAGCAGAGCAGCAGCATGACCATCTCAGCTGCAGGACAAAAGAGAAGAGATGTAAGATAGGCAGGAATACTGTGTTGTAGAGCAGTTAAGAACAGAGCCCCTGGACAGCTTGTGCAGACTGGACAGTGCCAGTTTGAGACTGCATCACTACTGACCTCATTTAACTTGTCTTACAATTAGGCTGCACAAGGAGTTAACAGGACATCTGTGTTCTTCAGGAACTGTGACTATCAGATGCCTTCAGGTTTCTAGTCCATAACTATGAGGCTATTGCCCAAATAATGTTTTACCCTAAAGATAGCATAAAAAAAAGGAAACCCAGAAAATGTGCCTTTTATCTCCTTTTAAAAGTACAGTTTATTAAAAAAAAATGCACCTTGCATTATTATTTAAAAGTCTATATTAAAAAGCAAACTTGTTTTTAAATAGGTTATTTGATACCTTTAATAAAGTTGTGTTTGAATATCAACTAAGAAATGAGAACATTGATATAAGGTCACAGCCCATAAAGAGACAGAACAGCATTCAAGGGGTCTCACCTCAGGTCTCTGGCAGGATCACAAACACCTGCACATCATTCCTGACAAACATTTGTTCAACACATTCACAGAGACCTCCATCATGGAAATTCTAAATATTATCCCATCAATATCATCTATTCTTCTTTATATCCTTACCATGAGAAGTTTTTTCTAACATCAAACCTAAGTTTCCCTTGCCTCAGTTTAAATCCATTTCTTCTCATCTGCTCCACCAGACAGAAAGAACAGCCTTCTCTTTAGCACTCTAAGTATTTGAAGATTATATCTGCCTCTGCCACCAGTCTTCTAATGTTTAGAATAAAAAACCTGAATTCATTTAAACTTCCCTCAGAGGTAAGATTTTAAAATCTCCTGAAGACAGTCATTGCTGGTCTGTGTTCCTCTCCAAAATGTCCACTACTTTCCTGAACAGCAGTGCAAAACCCCCGGTGCTGCAGCCCAGATGTCAGCAGTGCTGAGCAGGAGGGAAGGGTGCAGGCTGCAAACCCCCTTAGGGACGCCCTGGGAGTGAACCAAGGAGTGAACCATTCACAGGAGCACAACAGGAAACTTCAGCAGCTTCCAGCTCCAATCTCTACCAATGGAAATCTGGCAACAGAGAGGGCTCTGGGTCCAGCTTCTGTTCCAGACATTTCTGTCCCTGTAAGAGAATGAACTACCTGTGAGCAACTGGGTGGTTCTCCAATCACTCCATGTCTGAGTGCTGCTCTCACTGACAAGAATTCTTTTTCCCTTGTGTGTCACATGATGAAAATGCTCCAAAGCTTCAGTAACTATGTGTGACTTACAACACTTCATACAATTACTCAGCTAATTAACCATGATGAGCCTCTTTCAACCAAGTATAATTCATAAAAATAAAAAGAAACGACCCCACACACACACACACAATACGGAAGGCAGTTATTGCCAGAACTTTATTCAGATTGCATTGCTTTACACACCTTACTCTAATGTTTTCTACTGTTATCTTTAAGTATACAAGATCTGAATGTTTCTAATGCTTACCTTTCTGTGTTCAATTGAAGGCTGTGGGATGACAAACTGAAATCCCAACACTGCTAGGGAACTGAGAAGTCTGAAAAGGCAAACAGTGGAACAGAACATATAAATACCACTAATACAAACTGCACATCTACAACCTATTTACAGGGTTCATACTGCAAGAAAATATTTAGATACTTGAAAACCATTACTAACCAAAGCAGACTCACTAACCTATATGAAATGTCCTGATGACATTCTATTCACAGCAGACAGTACCAGGGCCATACATAGAAAGTGCACCAAGTAGAATCCATTGACAGTATTTCACATAACTCCATGTTTAAATTAAAATATTCTTGGCCGGGCATATTTTAACACCTCAGCATTCAGTGTCAGACTGACATATGCTTTGCAAGTTTTCTAAAGTGTTAAGTAAGAATTCACCCATCTGTGGACTAGGTCTGCTTCTAGCTCTGGCTCCTTGCTTTCCAGATGAACATCCCACCTCCAGCACGCAGGGAACATGGAGAAATAGGTTCTTCCCCAGCTGCCTAACACTTGTGAAAACTGAATAACCTAATGAGCACAGAAGGTGAAAAGCAGCAGACACAGCCCACCAGAGACTCAGGATAAGCAGCCAGGCATCACCCCAGTCACCACATCTTCAGTCTGAAAGGAGTCATAACGGGAACCAAGCCCAAAAAAACTCTGTTCTGTCAAGCCTCACCCCCATAATGACTCCTACGAGCCTGTTACAAGTTAGGCACAGTTAGCTCAGTCTTTTGTTTGCCATAATTTGCAATGGGGACTGGTTTGCCCCCTTCTAACAAGCCACTCCATAAGAAAACGTGGACAGGTATGAGAAATAGGATCAAGGTATCTTTATTTCTACCAGGAATTTGACTTTTCAGTCTACAAAGAGTATGTTTCAGACCCTCTCTAAAGGGGAAAGCTGCTAATGATTTGCTGAATTTCGATGCAGAAGTAAAACTGATGGATTTGGACACAGAATACATCTGCAAACTAATGGACCAGACAAAATCCAGCTGTGTTTCCTACTCACAGCTCCCTCCTTTGCTCCCTACACAGTAACTCTTTAAATATTTCTCATTGTTTCAGGTATTTGCTGAGACAGACCTCCTAAACAGAAAGGGCTTTTTTTAATACTAAGCACTGCATTACCACCAATACAAACATTCTTCTACTAGGGAGAACGTTTTTCTTGAGTTTTCTGTTTGTCCTTGCCAACATACTGCAAAAGGAACCAGTAGGCAAGTATTGATTGCACATGGCCTATCATCACCTCATCATCTATGGCCCTCTCTCTCAAAGCAATAAACCAATTAAAGGCAAGAAAAAGTCATTACTTCTTTACTGCCAAGTCAATTTGGGGGGACGGGGGAAAGCAGCACTTTAAAAAGTGTGTTAGAAGGAAGTATTATATTGCACAAAGCTATGATAAAACAAAATACTGAGGAGGTGGCTGAAATCAGAGCCAGCATAAGGCACTACAAAGAAATCACTCAGAACATGCAGTTCAGAGCAGGGCCCAATCACACAAGGGTAGATGGAAGCCAAAGGCACGAATGAATAAACTGATCTGCAAATCCCACCTGAAATTAAAGGAAGAATCAGAATTCAGACCTCCAAACTGCAAAATGACAGCATCAAGTCTGTCTTCAGCTTCCCTTTTCCAAGTGCTCAAGTGATCTCCTCACTCTTCTCAATGAAAAATGACAAGCATCTAAGTAGGTGGAGTGCAGCCTGTGACAGGCCCAGCCCACGTCCTCTGCAAATTATATTTAACTTCCTTTTCAGAATCTCCCTACCTGATCCCTGCTCCCTTATGGCTTCTACTCTCTATAATCCCTCAGAGCATGTGAAAGAAAGTTCAAACTTTGCAGAAGGAAATGAATGCTTTCACCCTCAACAGGACAGTCAGTCTGACTGACTACAGAGTTCCATGTGTAAATTCTTCTGAAATCATGCACAAGGTTGTGAGTTCTGAACTGAATGAGAGCTGTAATCTTCAAAGCAAATTACTTACCAGATTAAAGTTCTCAGTTCTAAAATGCAAACTTGTAGTGTATGTGTGATTACTCCGTGCCAAGCCTCTCCTGGCCATTCTTTAAGGAATAACCCTCCCTATGTTTGTGGCTCAAGGACAATAAAGCTATTTTTTAAATTTGCTTCTGTATCTGCAGTTGGATCTGCCAGAAACAATGGTATCAACCTACTATTCCAAACACACAGGAAATTTGCCAGGAATACTTAAGCTATCCTGAGGCAAGCCTCTAGCTTAAATTAGTGTATGGCAATTTAAGTTTTTTAATGTTATTTCCCTCAGCAGCTTGCTTTGGCTAACTTCTCCACACTAGGTTTTTTTATTTGTCATGCTTGACTAACCTCAGGCCTCCCAGGCTACAAGAATAGGCTTCTCCAATTTCAGTGGGTTTGATTCAGGTATTCTTACAATGCAAAAACAGCCAAAAAGAACAAGTGTTCCTCAAAACAAGGCAAAACTTTCCAAGTATCCAGGAACAGGTGAGGTACCAATTGCAGCTGATCCATGGCTGTGTAACTCAGGCCTCTGTAAGAACCCTCTGTAAGAACATAAGGCACTTGGGAGCCAAGTACCTGATTTGAAGCAAAGTCAGGCTTTAAACTGTCCATCTATCCAAGTTACAAAGAGCAAACTTGCTCACTTTCTTTTCTTTTTCTGGTAATGCCAATTTCTCTTTAACTGGGGGAGAGGGGGAGGCAAAAAGCACAAAGCAAAACAGTATTAGGTCTACTGTAGGAGTAGCAAGAAAAAGTTTGCTAATTAACACCTCATTTAGGAACACCTCATTGAGAAACACCTCTCAGAGTTCTTCCTTGTCATTGCAGTGAGTATTAGCTCTGCAGGAATGAAGCTGGAGGTACCAAAACAGATCTCTCACCTGGCTGCTGTTCTTTAGTAGTTGTATTTTATGAAGGAACATAATGGCCAACTGTGGATCGTTCAGATACAAGTGAAAGCATTTTAGCCAAGTGATCGGTACTGACTATTGCAGGATGGCTCTTGTCCCATATTCCCAACTTCCTCCCAAGTGTGCAGAGCAGCCTAAGTCTGGGACAGCTTGGGAGGAGCTACACGGGGTGAAATTTCAACAGCAAAGATAACACAGGTCGTGTCAATAATACGTGACAGATCCATTTTGATGTGGAATCTGCCCTGGCATATTAGGAGGGGGCCAAAATTGCAATTCAAAGATTGCTGTCCCAAACTCACAAGGAGCAAGGTTAGAGCTGAGGTGTTACTGACAGTGTCCCCATCCAAATGCAAGAGCAGGGAGCTGTCATTCCTCGGAGGAGGCCACCTTTTGTTTGTGGAGCCTGCCTGCTCTGAATCTGCTTGCCCAACTACAGAACCGGCCAGACCAGCTTAGAAACAGCTGAATGTTTCCTTTGTTAGGAAAGCTGTTTGAAAGGTCTTTCCTATGTTTGCCCACTGGCAAACTGTTTCAGGAATGCATAATACAAATCCCTGAATGAATTGCAGCACAGGTACTAAAATGTATAAAACAGTAATTAAAGCCCAGTGATTGTAGTTGTGCAGCCTCATCAAAAAAACAGGCACTTTCCACTAATATTTGCCATCACACTGGCACTCATAAAGAGATGCTCTAAGCATAAACAATCACTGAGAACTTTCTTCTTTCACTATCACCAAAGAATGCTATGTCTGGTATGCATATACTTGAGTATTTGATCCTGGGACAAGATTTTTATTTATCCTCCTATGACGCAGACAATTTAACACCCGAGCAGCAAAAGATAACCAAACTGATATTTATTGCAGTGTGTTAAGAGAACATTAAATAAGATTTTAAATGCTTTACTGCATCACTTACCTCAAAGAAACTATTAAACTGTCTACCATGATCCTTTAATGCAAGGTATCTTGAAGTGAAAAATACCTCTTCACTGTGGTACAGCACAGTGCTGATCACACACAAATCCTACAGAAAGAAGGAAAAACACATTTAAGACTGCTTATTCAGTATTTTCCAGGATATCTACAAAAATGTATACTGACCTACATTAGTCATCTCTACTTCAATTCTTGGGACTTTACAGCAATTCAAACTGAAAGTTCAGTGTATGTTACATGAACAAACTGTATGCACCCCATTTTTTGCAACAGGACTTCAACGTTGCCAAAGTGCTTTGCAAAAAGACTATGGGACTCAAAAATCTTGATTTGATTCCCAAGGATGCATATCTGGCGTTAAACTTACTTGCCTTTTCATTCCTGGTATGTCACTTGTATGACAATAAAACAAACAGCTTTATTTGAAGTCTTGTGTTAATAGAATTCATAGAACTGAAACTGGGTTACCAATTTTTAATGTACAGTAATATTATTAATACATCTCTATTTGTGAGCAATGCCAGGATGATTCTTCTGTCAATGCTCATACTGTTTGCAGAAAAAAAACCAGAAGAGCAGTGCTGTTCCCTCTAGTACAGATGGCAAACCCATCCACAATGAAATTAAATGCCTTGCCCACAGTCATAGAGGAAATCTGGGGTTAAACAGTATTCTGAATATAAATTCAGCTGATCCTTATTTATAAGTACTATCATTGCATTGTTTGTAAATAATTTTTCAGACATCTGGGAATTTTTTATCTTAGTAAACTTGTAATCATATATTGGACACCTAAAACACACCAGAATTTTCAGGCAGGAAAGAGATCCCTGAAATAAGGAAATACAATATAAATCAGAAGGGCAGGGTGAGAGTGGCAAGGAGAGAGGAAAAGAGGAAATAAAACACTAACAGAACTGAACTTAAATCCATATATTTCAGGATTTCGTCAGCTGTTGTCTGTATCTTGCTATTTACAAGTGGTTACATGTTGAAATGCAGTGGAGTGAACAGAAACAAGAGAACATTGCTGTTCACAGATAAAGAGCTCTCCATTTCTGCCAGACAGCCAGATAAAAATCTACCTAAAACAGGACAATATTGACAAGAACTTAAGAAATGTGCAGTTAAATAACATACAGATCCCACTGCTAGAAAAATGTGGATTGTTTGCAGGTAACTGGACAAGTTAAACGTTCCCTGCCCACTCCTAAAAGCTGAAGAACAACAAATTTGGTTTAGGAAATCACCAAATACTTGCAACAGCTTCAAAAGAACTTTTTTTTTATTTATTTATTTTTAATTCTGGAATTGTTTAGTTTGTTAAATGCAGGGCATTAAAAGTTGAAAACTTAGGAAAGTGTCACGACAAAAGTTCTGTGTGCAACAGGTCTGAGTCAGTCCTGAGGATGAAAGCACTAAGGCTCAGCTAAACCTCATCCTCTCCTTCACAGCTGTCAGCAGATCTAGGAGGCTTTCTCACACTTATTCAACGTTTTCACCACTTAACATTGTAAAATCGTTTTTTATGAGATGGGCAGCACTTCTGAAAACTGATTTTTAGTCTGGATCTTCTGCAACACTTTAGACCATTTGAGATTTTAGCACCTAGGTTCAGTAAAAGCTCCGTTCCTTTAAACCTTAGGCAAGTCCACACCTACAGCACCAACAGAAGGCATTCAGACAGATCCCCTCAGACAGTACTTACTAACCTTATGAACTGAGGAGGAAACAAATGTCTCACTGCTACAACCTGACTCTTAATTACCAGGCATATTGATGCAATAGTCTTTTATATCACTTATTGGAAATGGAGGATCTGCCTGTAACATAGATTGTAACCAACAGGGCTTCAAGTTCTTATCAGTTTGAGTTTTTTCCAGATGTGTTCTCCTTAGTGTTTTTCACTTCACAATGAGCTATTTATCCAATATCCTTGTGTGGAGGGAATCTCAGCAGAACACTGCTACAGGATACAAACACACAGGAAAAGCAACCTGCACTCCCTTAATCCCCTTTGCAAATTGCACTTCATTTGAAAAGCAGAAAAGATGCTATGATAGATCTGGTTTTGCAAACAAGCAGGAGAGGGACCTCCAGTGTCCCTCTGGAGATTGTTCTTAAAAAGAGTACTTAAAGTCCATGGATATGTTTTCAGTTTTTTCAGCTCATCTCTTTCTTCATTGTCAAGGGCAGGCTGCATTACAAACTCAACTTTCAACTATATTTCAGTGCCTTTTTCCAAGCACTTCTTACTGCAACTCATAGATGCGTTTTTTTTGAAGGATCATTTGAAGTACAGGGTGTAAAAACTGCTAAATATTTAAGTGACTTAAGAGCTTGTTTTCAAAATGATCTAAGTGCTTAGGTGCTTTCAGCCTATTGAAAGGAATGTCATTTTGGCAGTGGTGTCTTTGATATGAAAATGTGCAAACGTGACAGTCGTTTTCCCTTCAGAAGATCCAGGGCAAAACGAACGCGTGAAACGGCTCCACAGTTAACACTGGGATTGAATAACATGGATTTGGCAGGGAAATTTCTAGAAGCCTGATGAGGTGTCCTTGTGTTAGTTACTGCAGAAGGTCTTGGAATGTGAAAGTCAAATTACCTTCCCACAAGGGGCTGAAAGCATTACAGAACCATCTAGCAAAAGACTTTCTAGTAACCCTACTAACAGGAGGAGAGATACGGATTTCTCAGCTGGAACAACCCACACTCTTGGACTTCACAGAGTTAGCAAGACCTTCTCCACTGCACTAAAATATTTCACATTTCAGCAGTCTTCCCTATTTCATCTCCAAGTGGGATGAAAAAAACCTGTGAAATTGGGTAGGGGGAAAAAGAACCTCAAAACACAAAACCACACACTCCCCAGAAAACCCAGTCAAAGAAACCAACCAACCCACCACACAGGATGGGAAAGAATTCAAACCTTCCCTCCAAAACAACCACGGTGTGACAATCAAAGGGAGAGGTGTTTCACTGCATATAACAGAACGTGCATCAGGTCACAGAAAATGAGATGAACAAAAGGACTCTGCTTAAAGTCTCCTCCCCCTTCTCACAGTGTTGCCCACTTGCAATCACACACTGCAGCCCTTTGTCAGCAGGGCTCACATAAATGTCTAGGTGACCTTAGAAAATAAAAATACTAATTAGTAATGTGGATTTTAAAAAGAGGCAGAGATGGATAACGGCAGTAACCCCAAAAAATAACCTAGTAGGCTCATAGGCAATCTCAGAAATTTGCTGACATGGACAAAAAGAGATTTCTCAAAGAGGTAAATGATGCAATACACAGAATTAGCTGGAAAGACACCACAAACACTGTTAGGAAAGTTATGAAAAGAGGAAGAAAGTCTTCTGGGAAGCCAATGGTAACATTTCACCCTTTCTCTAATTATCTTCAAGAAACGTCTTCAAACAAAGAGGTTTGAAATTTTGCAGAAAGCCCATGAATTAATTACCCCAAACTCTTAATTATCACGGGACTCCTCACATGCAGGTTTTCATGTGACTGTACCCTTTGTGTATTGTGAGTGGACGGTCTTTCACTTCCACGAATTCCAACGTCATTTTAGCATCAACCTTGTAAGTCCTGTCAACTCACATATATCCATATACATCTGTGTATTAACTACAACAGAAATTTCTTAGCCTGCATGTGTACAGTACCTACTTAAACAATCTGAGACCCTGTATTTTAACTCACAACAAGGATGTGAGATACACCATGTAGAAACATACACTAATTCAACCAAGTTTAAAGTGTTCTGAGCTTTTAGCCTATTTTACCTTGTTAACTTATGTCAAGCCTTCCTTCAATATTTATCATTCTGGTTAGATTATGTATCTTGCCAGCTACTGACAATGGCAACTAAAGTAGCTACAAAACTTGAGCATTGTTCCAAAGGCACGTTTCCACTGATGTGAAAAGCTCTCTTTTTGTAGTATTTAGTGAGGGGAAAAATAATAAATAAAGAATATTTAGAAATATTTTTTAAAAAATATGACACCCTTTAAGACTGCCTTTGAGTTTGTTGCCTAGTATGTTGGTACAGTGTATCTGTTAGTTTAGTTATTCACATCTATTAAATCATGTTCAGTGCAAGTCCTCTGGATTGCATCCAAAATTCATTACATTCACAAGACTTTGATAAAGCATCGCAGTGCACCAGGTTTATCTGGCTACATAACTTGTGCACACATCCAGCAGCTTGAACTGCAGCTGTTGACACCTACCACCAGAGTTCTAATCTCTTCAAATGTTCAGTAACTACAGTAAAACATACACTTGTCTCTGGAAGGTGCATAACAGAGAAATCTAGCACTGTATCTGATGAAAAGTTCTGATGCTTACATGGAGCAAGCCTTTTATTAAACCAGAAATTGCAAGTTACCCCACCTAACCCTGAAGGTGCCTTCTTGTTTCATTTTAAACGCTTTGAAAACTTCCAAGTTCTCCTTCTGGGTGTGTCCAGAACTACTGCAGTCCAAGAAAGCTCAGTGCCTGTCTCCAATCTAAGCTTGACTGAGCTCCAGAAGTTTTTGTTCCTTTGCCTAAAACACACATGGTGCAGTAATTGTCCTCCAGGATATACACAGAGCGATGATCAAGCCTCTCACATTCACAAATGCAACTAATTGGCTCTCCAAGTAGCCTGTGGAACCATCCCCTTTGGCATCCCGGGCGGTGACTCACCTGCTGTGACTCACCGCTCTTGGGGCGGGGGAGACACTCCCTGGGACCTCGGGGCCACCCCTCACCCCCTGCTGATCTGGGCCAAGGTGCCACCACCTCTGCAAAGCTCTGCTCCCACACAGGAGCACCAAAGACCCCAAATGAAACAATAACTGTGAGGTTCGGGGCCATCCTGGCGCAGTCTTGAAGTTCTGGTCCAGTTCCTAGAGCCTAATTCAGCAAAGGGTCAGTGGTGAAACCGTGTTACCTGCTTATCTAGCATCCAATTCTATAACATTTAATCATCCTCTGAAAATCTAGGAGACAAAGTTGGTGAAATGCAACAGTGATCGTACACCAAATTTCCCAAAATATCCATTCACAAAATGCAAATTTTGGTTTTTAAA